AACCATTTATACGAGCAGTTCTCGCCTAATATAAGCCATACTCGTATAAATGGTTCCTTTCGCGTCTTATGTAAGCCGCGGCCTATTTTCTCTCGTATAAACAGCCCTTTTGTCCACTGGATTGAAACTAAAGAGTTCAACGTCACGCTGTTTTTTAGAATCCCAAGAGACAAGAGGGAGGAGGGAGCTTTGGCAACTTTAAAAGCGGAAGGCAAGGAATGGGCCACAAAAATAGTTAAAGTTGGAGGTAAGAAGATATCTTCCGAAACACTCTTCAGTTCAAAATCCATTGAATGTAGGGTACCATATAGATCTCTCATCAAGTGTGGAGTGCAACAGAGCTAGATTTTTACCATCTGTCCGTTATCCTAGTAGAGAATTGGGCTGTAAGAGCTGGTTTGTAAATAATCTTTATAACATGACTGGGAAAATCAGCATTCACGCCTTAGGGAATTGGACTATATTTATTTAAATTTTCCCTTGATTTCATTTCCTGCATACTATCAATTTTGCTGCTGCGCGCGGGAGCCCTACCGTTCCAAAATAGGATTCAAATTTCACACTTCTTTTAGTGTAGACCTGAAATTGAAAGCACATATGCCTGCATTTGCGTGACTAGGAATAACAGTTGCGCAAATAACTACTGATCGCAACCTATGTCTGACAATTTTACGTACTAAAAGAAGACAAAACTTAATATATAGCGAATCTCAAAAGAAGAAACAAAATCTGAATTATTACATGACGCTTATGTCATTTCTATCACAGACAACAAAGTTGCCCTCACGGAGCACATGGACACATTGATAAGTGCAGTAATGCAGCCAAGTTGCAGCAGTGAGGTACAGAGTCCTTCTCCTGACAAGGAGCAGCGGTAAAGCAGAGGAAAGAGAAAGAATGATACGGAAGATAGATACGGCACACTGAAAGACACAGGAACTGCTGGTGACACCACAGCTCAAAAGATGAAGACGAAAAAAGTGAGTGGAACTGACAAACCCAGAAAGGAAAAAATACCCTCAGCGAGCCAAAGATATAAGGAAAACAGTTTGGGGTCTACAAAAAAGAAAAGCGCTAAGAAGGAAAAGGAGAAAGCAAAATCCAATGCTGCAAGCGCAGCTGCTCATCAGGTTTTTAATGCCAACAGTGATTGCTGCTTACCCAATGTGTCATAAGCATTTTCAGATGCAGCGGAAAATGGAAATATTTCACCGCTTCTTCCACTGTCTCCACGTACAAATGTTCCCACTGCTGATTGAAAAATTTTGGCACAGAACGACCGTAATTCAGCCTAACTTGACATCACTGCCCTCTTCAATACCTCCGTCTCTAACCCCGCTGACATCTGTTGGTTTTAAGTACAGTTCTTTCACCCCTCAACGTTTCAATAAAAATACGTCTATGCTCGATCTTCTTGGCAATTCGTCTTTTGCTGAGCATCTAACTTCTCTGCATAGTCCTAAGCTCTCACTCCAGGCGAGCATACCATCCTCTACTGTTGGATCATTGTTGAGCCATTGCTTAGCGATTATTGGTGAGCCTAACCATTTACAGGATAAGACTTCGCCAAGTTCTGTTTCTAAGAATGTTGACCTTGACATCGAAATTATCAGTCAGGATTCTCCGTGTTCTAACTGCAAGATTTTGTGCAGCCTTTGTGAGTCGCTAAAGCAGAACTTCTTACAGGTAATATGTTTCGTACGGGTAGCCTTTTGTAGAATTGGTCAAACACCACATCCATAACCCCTGCCAGGATAAACAGGAAAAACATACTATTCTACCCATAAGATAGATAAGATCAGCATTGCTGGTGGGGTCGTGCACAAAACAACTACAAGAAAAATAAGGAGTACTGAAAGCAAATGTACAATAGACCTTGTCAAGGTTGTTCACGCCATCTTCACAAGTAGGCAAACGCATGAGAAATTACAGTGATTGTATGAGAATCTGATGTCGAATAATTTCAGTAGAACGGCTGTTCTGAAAAAATATGACTTTAAACTAAAGCTTTAATCCTAAGGATTCTCCTGAACAAATTTGAGGGCGTTACATGTACTTGACGACCTAGAACCACTTTTTAACATTTTCTATACATTTGTCTGTAAGAAAGTTCCGGGAAAATTACAGACAAATATATGGAAAATCTAAAGCAAGCCTCTGGAAAAATTTAAGAACAGGTACGCCCCCCAAATTTTTTAGGACAATCCTTTGCATTGTAGCTTTAGTTTACAATTGATATTTTTTTCAGAACAGCCGTTTTACAGAAATTATCCGACATTAGATTCTCATACAAACACTAATTTCTCACACGTTTGTCTACTCGTCAAGATGGCGTCGAAAACCGTGACAAGGTCTATTAAAAATTAATGACTGTTAAAAATGTTTGTAACCAATACTTCACTTTTTAGTTGTAGATAAAATACGTCGTGTAAATGTACAATTGAAAATTAAAACAGTTTAAAGTATTCGTAACCGATACATCTATTTTTATTTCTAGCTAAAATGAGTTCGAAATTCATTTTATCAGTATCAAATTTTGCAATACAACATTTAAATTCTTTAAAGGTTTTAGCCCTTGTTTTCTTGTTTGTTAAAATGTTCCATGCAAGTGCTCCTCTAAAGCGTATGGAGTACCTGATAAAATTCGTTTCTGGTCTTGGAAGAATGATGTTCTCACTTTTTCTGCGGCCTGAAAAACAAATCGTTAAATTCCATGGTGTAACCTTTTAAACACTTGAAGACAAACTCCATTAATCACACGTTGTACATACATTGTTTCCAAACAGTCCCATCCAGTTCGTATTAAGACATCTTCAGCACTAGTGTCCCATGGCAACCCATGTACAATCCATCCAGCCCTTGCATGGAGTTTCTCCAGATTCTTTAGGTGCGTCTTGTTGCACGATCCCCACACTGTCACACCGTATGTAACTGACAGTAGTATCATCACTTCTGTGTAGAAATCTTCTAATTGCTTCTGAGGGAGGAATTACATGCGTCGGAGTAGAATTTACTTGGATGTGAAGGACTTCACTACATTTGCAGCATGATCTGACCAGGACAACTTGTTATCAACTTGTACTCCGAGACGTCTTTCTGAGGTTGTACCAGTGTTCTCCAGAAGCGCCGGCAGCTGGCGTTTTCGCCAGCTACTCACGTATCAGGCGCTGGCTCCTTCTGTTAGACAAAAGGGCAGAAAGTTATGCTTTAGTTTCTGTAAAACAATTTCGCACATTGTGTGACTTTGGCTTAAAATCTTAAGTGCCATAAACAGTACGTGTTCATGTTATTTTCAAAGGAAACGATAAAGAATAGCATAATCTAGTACGCTTCAGAAAGATAACAACTGTAATCTTATTTTATTTATTAGAAGGCTGACATACATACCGAAAATAATTGTTTTAAAGTGCATTGGAAGGAATCTGTCAATTAAAACATCAACTTTTGCCCTAATTCTGTCGAAATATTTCATAATTTCCAGCGTACAAGTTCGTCTTCTCAAAGAGCACGTGGATATGAACAATTCTACATTATGATCACGGGATTACGATTATGACAAGAAAATTTACATCAAGTCTTTACGAGATGTCAAAGCAAACATCTGTGGAAAATCAAAAAGATGGAAAGAGAGGAAAAAAAACGAGTTTCCTTATTCCCAAGGAACGAACAGGAATGGGTGAATGGTATTCAAAGCACGTTTAAGTCTGCATACATTTCCAAGTGCTGTCCGATCAGCTGTTCGATCGCACAATGTTAAACTTGTAGGTTTGTTCGAGATAATTTCATCCCGAGGTGATTTCCAAGCACGTGACAACTCTTATAGGTTCGGAAACACAACATTCTATAAAGACGAAGGTAGATATTCACGAGTTTACATTTTATTCTTTGTCGTGGTTAAGAGTAAACACACCACCAAGAAATGGCAGCCATGTTGAAAGTCGGGCCTAGTCTCCTCGCATTTAGTTTTGGTTTTTGGGCCTGACGAAAGGATTCAAATTAATCAAGTCAAATTAAAGAAGGAGAATAAACGACTTCCATTTGACAGCTTGCAATTTTGATACATTGTTTTTTTTAAATACAGTAAATAAAAATATGTCATCTGTTTTTGCCCACTCCAACTCATACCATTTTAGCTTCATCAAGTACTCAGCAACTCTCTCTTGAGAATGCAACTAACTCTGAACAGCAGTGCATACAAAGTTCCTGTAGCGCTGGCGGAGTACAAAGTTCAACTTCCCTTGAAGCAAGCACACCTCCAATGCTGGACATGCTACCAACTCCAGTGGCAATTGCTCTGTTAGAAGGGTATTTTTCAGATCCCATGGAAAAGAAGCACTTACATAGCTTTTTCACCTGTTGTGGAAAATGCTCAGACGTATCTGATGCTGAAAGGGCTTGAATTAAAAGCCAGAAAAAAAAAACAAGAGAAGGGAAAAGGAAGGGAGTTGATATGTTCAAACACTCATGGCTCAGTGACAGAAAAACTTCATTCTGTGACAAAACTGGTAAATATAAATGAAAAATACTGTATATTATTATGATGTTTGCTATAATAAGTTCAGTTTTGCTTTTTACAAAAACCACAATGCATCTGTTTTGGTTTTACTTTTAGGCAAGTCGTGGTTGGTATACTGTGAAGGGGAAGGGATGTTCTACCTTCTGTGCTGTGGTTATATCACCAAAAACAAGTACAACAAACAGAACACATTCAACTTAGCACCATTCACCAACTACAAGCACAGCGCTGTTAGTGACCATGCAAGAGGCAGTGGACATACATCAACAGTAATCTTTGAGTTGGAGAGAAGGAATTCTTCCTTGGCTAAAAAGTAAAAAGTGGCTCACAAAGTGGCTGATAAAGTGACCTACATCGCATTCCTGAGCTCTTATTGGCTTGGAGAAGAAGAAGTGGCCAACAAGAAACTTCTCTCTCTGATTGAGTTAGAAAAGCACGTTGGTGTCATAGAAATGAAAATACAAGTGAACGAAGTCAGCGAGAGATGTGCCTCCTCCTTGGTCAGCTTATCAAGGAGAAACCAATTCAAAGGGTCAAGGATGCCAAGTGGTTTATTATCTTAGTTAACGAGGTGACGGATTGTGCTACACTAGAGCAGATGTTGATCTATATTGGTTATGTTGATGAGGTAGGGAAGACATTTTGATTTTCTTGAAGTAAAAGATGTTCTTGAAACATCAGAATCAGCAGATTCTGAGACTCTCACAAGGATCATCACTGAGGAGCTGAAAGCATGTGGTCTAAACCTTGCTTTAGTTTGTGGTTTTGGCTCAGATGGTGCTAGTGTCATGACTGGCAAAAATAATGGTGTTGGTGCCAGACTTCAGAAAGTGTGTAGCATCATGGTACGCAGTCACTGCATTAACCACAGGCTTGCCTTAGCATGCAGTGATGCCAATGACCGCCTATGCTAATGATGACCCCACAAAACAGAAAAATCTGTCCAAGTCTCTGGCAGTGAAGATACAGAAAGCTTGCAGGACAAGGTGGCTTTCAACTGGCCAAAGTGTTTCAAGCGTCTGCCGAAACCTTCTTACCCTGATGCAGACATTGAGGCAGTTTAAGGAAGCTGATGCTACAGCTCAAGGTCTTCTAAAGACAATGAATAACACCAAGTTTGTTGGCACGATGCTTCTACTGAATGCAGTTCTACCTCATCTCAACACCCTTAGCAAGGCGTTCCAAAAAGATCAAACATGCTACACCTCCATCAGACCTGCACTTGAAAATACCAAATCCAGACTTTTTGAAATCCGGTCCTCCTTTGACCTTGTTCTTGAGTTGCAAACAACCATTCAGCCAGGTGGGGACTATGCTTCTTTGGAACTGGAGCTTACAGATGATGGCCAGATAGAAGCATTCTTGAAAAATCTTGTAGTTAACTACACAACTGCCCTTGAGAGGAACCTAGATAGAAGATTTCAAGAGGCAGCGCCCGTTCTTGAAACATTTTCAATCTTTGATCCGAGCTGCCTCCCAAAGCCAGAGGACCCAGCCTTCAAGAAGTATGGTGTGGATGAAGTAAAAGTGCTGTGCAAGCAGTTCCAGTTTCACAAAGATCACACACTTGCACAGTGGTACAACTTCAAGTACCTGATGTCATCATGAAAGGTACCCTCTGCTGTTCTCAGGGGGAAAGATCACCGTTCTTCAACTGAGTTCATTCTAAGAAAAGTTGTTAAAGAGCAGGTGGCTCACAGAATCAACTTCCCACAAATTGTGGATGCTACTCAGATTTGCCTCACCCAGCCCATGTCTAATGCAGTTGTGGAAAGGGGTGCAAGTGCAGTAATGCTCCTTGGATGAGGTTTATTATGTCCAGCCATGCTGTAGATAGATGAAATTCTACAAGGTGCAGATAAACAGCCATGGTTTCTCGTAGTAGCTTGGCCACAATTTTCACATTTATCAGGACCAGGATTAAAACATACATCTCCACTGATAAATAAACGAATTAAATGGAAGCCTGAGACGGAACAAGAGTGGCAGTTAATTCTCGTGCAGTATGGATAATTAAACGATTGTGGTTTTAAGGAAAAGAAGCAAAGTTACTTGCTTTATTCTAAGTGATACCGTTACCAAATGCACAGCTGTTGACCAAAGAAGCTTGAAGAAGAAGAAGAATGAAAGAAGAATGTCAAAGGCCAAAGAGCGATAAGAGTAAACAGAAATCGGTAGTGGCGAAAAAGAGGTCTGCACGCCATGAGGTGTAGTGCTAATGCTGGCATTGGGAGACAAATAACTATCTTGTTATCACTGTAATTATCATTATAGACTCAAAAATATACACAAAACCGACAGAAAAATTACACATTTTTTCCCACTGCAGTATGCCCAAAATGCCTCAAATAGCATCTCCCGACCCCCTTTTTGTTAAAAAATTTTCCGGGGGGGGCATGCCCCCGGACCCCCCTAGAGGCTCATGCCCTCCAGGCACTCGCAATACACCCACTGCCTACTTTAAAAATTTGGCTGACTACTTCCAAATCTTTGGGAACACTGCTTGTACACTTTATGTTGTTGCCAAAACGGAGAGCTTGGATAGGGCCATAAGCGAAACAAGCTAAACTGATGCTAAAAGACCTGTACTATGAGCCTCTGGTTAAACTAGTAACTCAGCCACTGAAGTCCAAATGTTTTCTTTACTACTATTACCACTTAAAAAGGACACATATGCCATACTAATCAAACACTGGATGCAGCAATGCTCCAAAATCTTCACTACGAACCTCTGATTAAACTGGTAACTCCGCCACTGTATTTCCATGCTTTCACCACTACTATTACCACTTAAAAAGGAAAAACATGTCATACTAATAAAACACAGGACAGCAATGCTCAAAGATCTTCACTACAAACCTCTGGTTAAACAGGTAACTCAACCACTGTAGTCCCCATGTTTTCACCGCTACTATTACCACTTAAGGACAAATATGTCATACTAATGACTATGTTGTAAATAAGAGCACTAACATTCTCAATTTTATCTCTTGCAACTGTTATCGCTGTATGTGTTGAGACTAAGGCTTAACTATATCTCACCCTTGTACATCTGACCCTTGAGTATGCTTGCTGTGCTTGGGGTCCTTATACCCAGCACAACATTTCTAGCATGGAAAAATATCAGCGGAGAGCTGCCTGCTTCGTCTTGTGAATATTCCTGCGAATCAAGCATCTATTGCATGTTGAGTGCCCTGGATTGGCCATTACTCTCTCAGCATCACGAGTGTCAACTTTTTGTTTAAGGCATCTCAGAATCCTGATGATAATAGGCCTCTCGAAGTATATATCCCTTTCTCATTCCTGCACTAGATGCTCACACATTAAATTTAATCACCTCTCTGGGCAGAGTGATATTTGTAAATTATCCTTTTCTCCACGTACTATTCCAATATGGGACAGCCTTCCTCAGGAGATAGTTCATGCTACAAGCCCAGCATCCTTTCGCACAGGGGTTAGTGCATGGCGCAAGAGCTTGTCTGCCTAATTTAAATAATTTAATTAGTTGATAAATTTCACTATATTTATTTGATCACACTTTATAGTCGTTATTTGCAGCCTACAAATTTGTATGTCGAGACAGTGTATGTTGTAATGTAATATATTTAAATTTATTTTATTGAGTTATCTAGTTATTTTCATATCGGTTGTAATAACTATGCAATAAGCATTACCGATTACTGAAACAGAAACAGGAAATAATTAAACAAGAGAGACCAATGCTGACAAACCTTCACTACGAGCCTCTGGTTAAAGTGATAACTCAGCCACTGAAGTCCCCATGCTTTCACCACTACTATTACCACTTAAAAAGGACAACTATGTAAAACTCATCAAACACGGGACACAGTAATGCTCAATGATCTTCATTATGAACCTACGATTAAACTGGTCACTCAGCCACTGAATTTCCATGCTTTCACCACACTTATTACCACTTAAAAAGGAGAAATATGTCATGCAAATCAACTATCCGCTGTAGCAATGCCCAAAGGTTTTAATTAAGAACCTCTGGTTAAACTAGTAACTCAGCCACTGAAGTACAAATTCTATTGTTACTACTATTACCTCTTTAAAAGGACAAATATGCCATACTAATCAAACAACGGACGCAGCAATGCTCAAAAATCTTCACTACGAACCTCTGGTTAAACTGGTCACTCAGCCACTGTATTTCCATGTTCTCACCATTACTATTACCACATTAAAAGGACAAATATGTCATACTAATCAAACACGGGACACAGCAATGCTCTAACATCTACATCAAGAACCTCTGCTTAAACTGGTAACCACTACCATTACCACTTAAAAAGGACAAGAATGCCATACCAATCAAACATTTTAAAAATGTCCCCAACTTCTGCCTCAAAACTTTTATTTAAAAAAAAGATTCTTATAAAATTAAGAGTGTACTTACATTAATTTTATCTTCTTTTTTCTCCTTTTTAGCACAATGGAATGTTTTGTTTTGCTTTTTTGTTGTTGTTTTTTAGTTTCAAATTTTGTTGATTGCTACTACGCTTATTCCCTTCTTTGCAGGGACAAAGCAATGCTCAAAGATCTTTACTACAAACCTCTGGTTAAACAGGTAACTCGACCACTCTATTCCCATGCTTTCACCGCTACGATTATCACTTAACAAGGACAAATATGTCATACTAATGACTATGTTGTAAATAAGAGCACTAACATTCTCAATTTTATCTCTTGCAACTGTTATCACTGTATGCGTGAGACTAAGGCTGAACAATATCTCATCCTTGTACATCTGACCCTTGAGTATGCTTGCTGTGCTTGGGATCCTTATACCCAGCACAACATTTCTGGCATGGAAAAAGTTCAGCAGAGAGCTGCCTGCTTTGTCTTCTGTGACTATTCCTGCGAATCAAGCATCTCTCGCATGTTGAGTGCCCTGGATTGGCCATTACTCTCTCAGCATCACGAGTGTCAACTTTTTGTTTAAGGCGTCTCAGAATTCTGATTATAGAGGCCTCTCGAAGTACATATACCTTTGTAATTCCTGCACTAGATGCTCACACATTAAATGTAATCACCTCTCTGGGCAGAGTGATATTTTTACATTATCCTTTTCTCCACGTACTATTCCAATATGGGACAGCCTTCCTCAGGAGATAGTTCATGCTACAAGCCCAGCATCCTCTAGCACAGGGGTTAGTGCATGGCACAAGAGCTTGTCTGCCTAATTTAAATAATTCAATTAGTTGATTAATTTCACTATGTTTATTTGATCACACTTTATAGTCGTTATTTGCAGCCTACACATTTGTATGTCGAGACAGTGTATGTTGTAATCTAATATATTTAATATTTATTTTATTGAGTTATCTAGTTATTTTCATATCGGTTGTAATAACTATGCAATAAGCATTACCGATTACTGAAACAGAAACAGGAAGTAATTAAACGAGAGAGACCAATGCTGACAAACCTTCACTACGAGCATCTGGTTAAACTGGTAACTCAGCCACTGAAGTCCCCATGCTTTCACTTCTACTATTACCACTTAAAAAGGACAACTATGTCTAATTAATCAAACACAGGACAATTATGCTCAAAGATCTTCATTATTTTATTATTTATGAACCAACCGTTAAACTTGTCACTCAGCCACTGAATTTCCATGCTTTCACCACCCTTATTACCACTTAAAAAGGAGAAATATGTCATGCAAATCAAACACCGGACGCACCAAACACAGGGCAGCAATGCCCAAAGATCTTCAGTCTACAAACTTCTGGTTAAACAGATAACTGAACCACTCTATTCTATAGAGACTTTAAGAGATTTGACAGTGGGCTATTCAAGACAACATTAAGTCAGGTAGATTGGTCTCCAGTTTTTGCTACTAGCGATGTCAATGAGTGTGTAGGTAGATTCCTTCACATTTTCAATCGGATAAGTAATCAACATGCCCTGTTGAAATCAACTAAGGTGAAAAAATATAATTTGTGATTACACCGTATTATCATAAATTACTATTTTGCCGGCACGTATCAGAGGTCTGGGGAGGGTGTTAGTGCGCAGTGAGTCATGGGATTCGAGTTTGTAATTCGTGGTCGTTAGGAAGGTGAGGCATTCTACGGTCAGCCTTCACCGTGTTAGGTTGCTTTTCTCTCTTTTTTCTGCTTTTCATGTTTATTCAGTTTACATTATGGATGAGTCGAAAGTTAGAGAAATAGTGGCCCACAATAACAAAGAATTGCTCTCCCAGATCAAAGATTTGGTTTCTTCTTCAATTTCCGACCTCAAGAGGTCCAGTGATGCCAACTCCGCCGAGCAAATGT